ATTTTTTGCAAGAAATGGAAGTCTTTTGCAGTGGCATTTAAACTGTTTGATACATTGGGAGTTTAATATTTGTGATGGTATCGTTTAATCTAAATAACAAGCTTTTGTTGGAAAGAAAAATGTTTTGCTCTCCTGTACCAGTATTATGAGCACTGAAATAATATTAACTCTTGCAGTTGTCTTATTTTCCTTTGGGGTGGGAGAGGCATTTTTGACCACCCTATCTTAGGCCTTATGCCTATAAATTTGTTTAATACAATCGTTCTAAATCTGAGTCTTATGTAAATATGTTGAGCCTGGATAGTTCAACAGACAGAGCTCTGTAATTTAACACCAGCTGTCTGCAATTAAAGTAAGATCGAATCTCGCCAGGCTCAAGGTTGACTCAGCCTTCCATCCTTTCTAAGGTAGGTAAATTGAGGACCCAGTTTGTGGGGGCAATAAGCTGACTTTGTATAAATATACAAAAGTATGAAGGCTATTGCTTAACGCATTGTAAGCCGCCCTGAGTCTCCGGAGATCCAGACTGCAAAGAAAAATAAGAAAACATAAATATTTGCACACAAGTTATGGACATGCAGAGAACAGAAATATGTTGACTTTCTAAAAGATAGACAATAATAATAGAACCATTCCTGGTTTGTGACAGCTATACTATCTGTTTTCTCTCTCAACATTTAACAGAAAACCACATTTAACTTTCTTATATATCATCTATTTAACTTTCTTATATCTCATCTTCCTTTTCTCCCTCCCTCCCTCCCTTCCTTTTTCTCATCCATTATTTATTTTTAAAAGTTGCCTTCTTTCATTCTGACACATTTCCAAAGAGACAAAAATATCCTGAAACCTCCTGTAGCACAAAGCACATGATAATAATAAAATGGCATTTGACTGAAAGCAAAAAAAAGATGCAACCACAATATAAGAGGAAGATGTAAGCTCTTCCTTTCTCCATTAGGAGAAGGCATTCGTGGGTTGGGAGTGCACAGGAAGAAGAACTAGAAAGCAGAAGAGAAAATATTAATCCTTTCTTTCTCCCTTGCAAATGTCCTTTTTCTCAACTTTTCTTACTAAATTCCCCATGCACAGAGACAACCAAAAGCAGAGCAGGAAGGATATGAAACAGCAAGGTTGATGGTGGCATGAGGACAGATGGACATAGGGAAAATATAAAATTTGTATATTGCTAGTTTACCTATTGTATTGCTAGTTTATCTACTTGATTAATAAATGCAAACATTCAGATGATTTTTCCAAATTACTTCAAGCAGATAGAGATCATATCCTCTATCCATCCCTATCATATACTAACAGAGCAATCTGTTCCATTCAGTCACATGGGAATTAATAAGGAAATTATGAGTGCAATCTAAAATCAGGGAAGGAAATCCTTACACTGAGGACACAGATCTTTTCCCATGATATCTCTCACCCATCCTTAGTTAAGTTTTACTGACCTCAGGCATTAGCCATATTTTTTCATTCATTGCAAAGGAAAGAATAGAATCCAGTAAAAATGTTTCAGTTATATCAAAACTACAGAAAGAGATGATTTCCCAAAAAATGGAGGAAGTCTAATTTGCAGAAAACTGTGCACACAGTTAAACCATTGTTTAAAATCTGATCAAATTGGTGTTCTGAGTATTTCTGGTGAAGACAGAACAGGGTTAAGTGTTCATCACATTCCATTTTAAATGAGGTTAAGCCACAAAAGGCCAGAACATGAACTTGCAAGTAACAAATTAAGGGGAAAACATTTGAGGAGAGACAACAAAAATATCAGGCCTTGGGTAGTTTTCATGAATTCATGTTTCAATAATTTAAATGTAGTTCAGAGATGAGCTGTTGAGTTCATGGTGTTCTCTGAACTTAGTTGTTTTCCTGAAGATATTTCATTAGCAGGATAGATAACATCCAAGCTCAGATCACATCAAGATGAATTCAAGATGAACACATACCATGAATTTAAGTTCCCATGGGGTGAGCCATTAAGACCCTTTGAATGCAGCCAAATGTACATTTCTGTATATTCCTCTTTCATTATTTCATTATATTTCTTAGGTTTAAGCTAGTCATTGAACCAAACTCATATGAACAATTGTTTGCTATAGTCTGATATATCAAGCTTTTGGATTCAGGTTTAAATCATGCCAGATAAATATTTTCTGTTCCATATCATTTTTATATGATTTTATTTATATAGTAGTTCAGTCCCATTCCGTTCTGTTTGCTTTAATCTGCTTGTGCATTTTAAAGTGTCTCACAATAGGTAATTAAACATTTTGGTAGTTAAACATTTTTATATACCGATAGCTGGTGTTGTGGGATGTAAAAATGTTCAGGTATTTAAATGCACACTTTGATGCACATAAACTGTCAGGATTAACCCCTTTTGAGAGTTAATTCTTCCATCTCTAAAAAAAAAAAAAATCCAGGAAAAACTCCCCCTAGTGATAGAAAAAAATATATAATTCTGTGAGGTTTTATGGGTATTTTTATCCTATTGCTAATTTTAGATAGGTGAACCTGAAGAGGCAGCATTTCACTTCAGGACAGAGAAACTAAATTTATTTTCCTATTTATTCAACCTTGGTAAAAATTTCCACCATCTCCCTACATTCTAAAATTAAAATTTTTAAATCTTGCTCCAGATTTCCCCTACCCAATCCTAATTGCTGGACTACTTACTTTAGTGGACAAACAAGAGGAAAAGAAAAAAAAAATACTCCAAAGTATGTGGGGTGAAATGATTCGAATGATCATTCTGTCCCTGGAGCTCTCAAACAATTAAAAAGGAGCTTGAAGTAAGAATGACAAGCATTTATAACTTTTCCCCCCACTTTGGAGTTTTTAATGGGGAAGAGAAGGAAGTGGTGATGGTGGTGGTGGTGGTGGTGGTGGACGAGGAGGAGGAGGAGGAGGAGGAGGAGGAGGAGGAGGAGGAGGAGGAGGAGGAGGAGGAAGAAGAAGAGGGAAAGCAGGAAAACTAGGGCTGGAGAAAGCTTAGAGAATGGCTTTGGACCTTCATACTGCCAGTAGTAGATTAAAATGCTTATAGCGTTTATAAACAAAAACAAAGAAAGCAACTTTCTTCATTCATTAAAATTGTTTCAGTTCATCCAACATCAGCTCTTGCAGTGAAACATGAATGCTTTTGGAGCTATGAAACATCAGCCCATTTGCTCTTTGCTGGGAGGAAGTCATCTATGTGTAATAAGAGGAAGAAAGATTTAAAAGGAGGAAATATTGGCAAAGAATCAGCAGCAGCCCAGAAAGGAGTGAGGCAAGCTGGGGTTTATTTTTAAAAAAATATAAAACCTAAGAAGTTTGCAAGAAAAATATTTACCTCACCAAATATTTCACCTTAATTAACCACGTTTAAATTTTACTGCCTGCTTGTTTGCATGCTTTAGGTTGGGTACCACCACTACCCAACACCAACACTCCCCACCCCCCCAAAAAAAAACCAATTTCAAGGGTCACAAACAGCCTTAACCTAAATAGAGACACTAAAAACAATGATAATAAGACAACAAAGATAAAGCAACAGAAATCTAAAAAGCTGTTCCATCAGATATACAAAGCCTTGGGGAAAGTGTGTTGGATGTTACTAGTTAGCATTGTATGAAGATTTGGTCCTTTCAAATTAAGCTCATTTCCTGATGATTTCAGGCAATGTGGCTCCAGAGAAAGTATTCTAGAGCAATGTTGCAAAAACATTTCAGCGCAGCTGGGTTCTCTTCCCAGCTAATCTGTGAATCCTACTTTGCAGAAAACAATATCTATTTGAACTGCTTTCCTGAAGGCAATCCTAATAAAAGAGCTTGTAATGTATGCCTGATTCAAAAATACAGAGTCAAAAGTAGGAAAGCAGGAGTCTATAGATCAACAGTTGGTTGCTGGATAGCTGAATGAGAAATTGCACAGATCCCAGATCACATTGCCAAAGCTTTCCCCACTCTAGTTTTATTTATATTATTATTACCCATATATAATATTTCTACTGATGTTACATTTATAATTAGCATACATATAATTTTATGCTGTAACCTTTTTCTCTTCTTTTCTGCAATATGTGACTACCCAAAATCTACTTCACTGTATTTGATAGGGATTCCCAGAAGAGAGACTTTTATTATGATTGATATATCAGAGCAGACAGCTTTCAATCTACATGCAAATTGCATGCAAATAAAAATACGCACAGTGGTATATTTTCATTGCATTAGTAAAACACACATTGCTACATTCCTTTCTTCTCTATAGCTTCAGAAAATGGATAAGGAAATTTAATTCTGAACTCCTAAGAGTTTCTGCTAGCACCATAAGTAGTAAACCATTCTGGAAATATTCAAAGGCATTTGACTGTCTGTCCCTAAGACATACTGCATCCTGGAAACTCACAAGCAGGATTCAAGAGTCATAGCCCTTTTCCACTGTTCCCTAGCAACCAACATTTAAGTATACTATACATCAGATTCAGCCAAAACCTCCATTCCAAGATGCAGTGACTTAACTCAGAGCAGAATATCTGCAAAGAAAAGGACTTCACCAAAAACATATTTTAATAATTGATCATATGTTATGGCTATTTCATTATAGAAAGGAGGTGGTTTTGACCTATATCTAATTTCTCATCACTTTTCAGATGAGGGTTGGTAGTTGAAGAAGAGAAGCGTCACTTGATAAGGGACTGGAAACTTTTAGTCACAAAATGACAGCCTTATCTGTTGATCGCAGTCATTGTTCATAACTTTTTCCAAACTAATAATAATAATGTGGCTTTAGTCAATCAGTAAAGATATTCTACAACTGACAGAACAAACATCCTCTTATCAATGGATCTCTGAAGACTGGTGGAACTTTCTTTCAATTTTTTTTTTAAATAAAAAGAACTTCCCACTAACCACAAGCAACGTTTAAATGTAAACACATGAAGATGACAACTCCCTAAAGCAGAAGGGAAGCACTTATTGCTTTCAGTAACACCAAGAAGGACGCATTAATATGAGACCTTGTTCTTTTTCAGAAGCAGATACCCAATGCTGTATCCTCTGCAAATCAAAAACTACCAAACGTGGTCAGATTGTGGCATACTTCTGATTTTAAACAGAAGCAAATAATTTCCTCAACCATCACAATAAAACCCTCCTCAAAAACTTGGAGGACATTGTGGTAAGTAAGCAACTAGTCTATACCTAACTGCCAGGGATTTTAAAAACAGCTACTGTATTATTTCAGGATAAAAGAGTCTAGAAGAGTAAGTACAGCATCATTTTAATAGGATCTCCTCAGTTTGAAATATTTTATTGTTTCATGTAGCATCACATGTTTGTGCTTCTAATAAAAACACCCAGAAACCTATTACCCTAATTCTGCCAAAGAGGTGAATTTCTGTTGCCTGTTATACAAGAATGAGTGGGTTGACGAGAGGCAGAAGGGATGGGGATACCATTAGTTCAGACTTTTGGGAAATAATTTATGTTCAACAACTATTAAGGGTAATTAATGAGTGTCTATCATTTAATTTCTTAATTCTTAGCTATTAACTCTGAATCAGTGGATATGAGCCATGTTCTAAACAATTTCTTCATACGCTTTCCCAGATTAGAAAAAAACTGTGATTAAGATACATATAGTTACAATGGAATACCTGCAACTAAAATAAGTCCACTACTGTGTAAATTGTATAATGCAAACTTGGTAAAGGTGAAAAATTAAGGCCTTGCAATATTAAGATATTATATTTCTGAAACTAAAATATATAAGATAGTCCAAGTTTAATATTTTTGATAGATGGGAGAGAGAAATATATTGAAGGCATGCGTCTTATTTGTGCCTATAATTGAAGTGCCCTGTGGTCAAAACATTTTTGAACAAAGAGCAAGTTTAAAGTAAGTTTAATAACAGCTTTATCCATTTGCTTTCACCATTTTTAAAAAAGGAACTAGGTTTGTTCATTCATATCTACTATGCAGTATATCTACTTATTACAACTCAATTTTAACATTTCACAATCATTGGACGAGTCATTGACAATGTGGAAGACTCAACAATCTTGTCTTCATGGAAAAACTCATTTACCAGATCAAATCACCTGAAAGATAGCACATCAGGGCCTTGATCATGTCAATGAGTTTTCACATTTCAGTGCTGATGCTGTTATTTATTAACCACTCAGGGATTTTGTAAACAGTGTAATATATAAGCCACAGTAATTTACAAATAAATGCACGCTGCATTGCTTTGGCTGGGTCTTCTTCCAAGAAAAATGTGCTGCATTTGTAGGACATGTAGGACATAGTGCTGCATTTCTTCCATAGGTGTGCTTGGAATAAGATGCACCAATTACCTTCTTTCGTGAAATCAATTTTGCTGCATTTCTGCATGAATTAGCTTCTCCATTTTTCTCTTTCATCAAGGAAGCAGGGAAAGAAAGAAAGAAAGAAAGAAAGAAAGAAAGAAAGAAAGAAAGAAAGGCTTCTCAATGGGTGGGGTTTTTTGGTTTCCAAGTTTATACATTCTAAAAGTAAATCTTTTAGTGAATATAAGAATTCAAAATGCATGGAAGAAGTATTTCAGTTTTAAGAAAAACTTATGTACAAGTGTAATAGGTTTTTGATACTCCCTATTGACAGTCAGGATAAATCCTCAATGCAGATAGAACTATAGTTGAATTAATCCAATCCTTATGGCAGGGATTTTCAAAATTTTCATCCTCAATCCAATAATAAATGAATTTGTATAACACCCCTCCCCCCATAAATAAAATTGATTCTATTCGTGCTAGGAAAGATATGATTATATTACTTACTAAAATATGGACCATATTCATACTTTCTTGACTTAAATTTATTTTCTCAGCACTATTAGTAAATAGATCATCTTTAGCCTTTTTCATACCAGGTAACAGAAATGTTTCTTCCCTTGGAAGTCTAGAAATGAACAATAGTGTGTAAAAATATAGAACTTCACTAACAACTGTACACACACTTCAATGGACACCCTCAAAGACTAAAAATGTCATGTGAGAAGTCAACTGCTGTTGTGAGTGATGGATGGTTTATGCTCAGTATTCAAGTGCTGACATTTTACAGTTTATTTTGTATGCAAGGTTTGTCCAGCGAAAACAGGAAGATTTGATAGTACTTCTGCTTTGTGTGCACAAGCATCATCAAAATTTAAATCACATACATAGTTGTGACTCACCATTAACTTGCTTGCGACCTCACCAAAGGCCAAGACTTATAATTAGGGAATTCTGCCTTGCTGAATGTTGAATTTTGCAAAAGCAGGTAAACCTTTTAAAAATGATTTGAAAAAAAGCAGATGATTTTATTAAGAGACGTTATACTTGTCAAAAAGCATAAAGCAGTCTTTTGTTTAACAGACTCTGGCTGATTGCTTCACAACTTTGTAAAGCTTGTGGCTCATTTTTGAGGAACTGAGAGGAAGGGTTCTTGAAGATATCTGTTAGACTGAAAAACGTCTCATCTTAGATTCAATGAAAGCTACTGCATTTATGTCAAATAAAAACAAACAAGCAAATATACAAACATGGTTATTGAGTATGGTTAGAAGCCCTGAACGGTGCATTCCAGGGTTCTGGACTTTCAGGATAAATAGTCTATGTGTATTTAATTCGTTTATGAATTTGCTGATAGTAAAGGAAAGATCATAGTAGTTAACCACTTTCCTGAAATCTTGATGTGCCTGTTTCAGTTTGAAGTCTGACATCAGGTAACAATTGACTTCCATTAACAGCCAAGTCAAAAAAACAGAATCTCAATGCCAAGCAATTTATTTTGGTATGAAGTAAACCATTTCATAATCTCTTCTCCTGAAGTTGTTATCTAGCCTGGTAACAAAACATTCAGAAACCAACCCACAAGCTTGGAGAACGAACCTCCACTCTCATCTGAGCTACAGATATGTGCCACTATTGCTCTCTTCTCCTTCTTCATAAATGTATAATAGTGAGTTAAATAACTGAAAATTTGCTCTCTTTCAGAACACCCAGTTGCAGCTATTCTACTGTTTTATGATTAGTTAATCATAAAACTAGTTCTGGAAATAAAACATTTTGGTTTAAGGAGTACATTTCCAATAATCTAGAAACCACAGATGGATACAACAGCTGTATACCCAATCACATTTAAAGGGCAGATAACTGACTGCTGTATATTAGTTCTTCACACCTCAGCTTAGTCACATGGCATAGATCCTCTGACTGTATGTGTTTGTAGTAAACATTATCAGAGGACATAGGAAAGCATTGTCAGAGGAATCCAAAGATGCTGCTTTTCCCTTGAATTGCTTTTCCACAAAGAAAAAGAACAATCCTCATCAGTGTATTTCCAAAAGTTCTATTATATTTAGCACATCTTAATTACCAGAAATATGGGCACAGGAGTGTAACACAATAAGAAAAGATACTTTGTGGATAATGATGTCACCAATATGCATGGTGTTCCATGATGCAGATGCACTAAAAGTGAACTGGCATCAGGGAATTTACAATCTAAAATTAAGCTGTGAAAAACAAAAGAAAAAGAGGAAAATTGATGTATGTTAGATAGAGACATGCTAGATCTTCAACTTGGGTGCAGTTATATGTGGATATTTGAAATTTGAGGCTGTGGCTTCAAGGAACAGAGAGGTTATGAGGAATTTAGAAAGCTTTCGTTATAAAGATATTCTGGGAAACTGACCCAGGCATATGGGAAAACAAAGGAAAAAGGGTATAATCTTGCAAGAATTGAAAGATAGCTAATAATCAGCATATTAACTCAACCTCATATGTACTGAGCTCAAGGTAAGCCTGGATAAGATGAAAACTACTTTGTTTTGTCTGGAAGGTGACCTAAAATCACATCAATACATAAGCATTATGATCTTTCCTGCATCTTACCAATATCCCTTGAACAGAATGCTTAAATATATTTGTTTTCTTCATCCAGGATTATGAATCGCAGTGTCTGTTGGCTTTGCAGTTTGTTCAGAGATGGCACAAACAGAATCATTTCCAAGTAAGTACAAACCAATCTACAAGAAGTCTTATTTACAGAACAAAGGGTAAAGGAAGAAACCAGGAATTTTCCGTTTTTTGAGAGTGAGTTTTACATGTTACTTATCCTACCTCCATTTATATACAATGTTGGAAGAGATAACAATAGAAGGAGGAAACTTTGGGTTAAATCCTATATGGGGGTCCATTCAAAATTCAAAGTGTGGTTTAGAGGTAAGTAGCTCTTTTTTGCTTTAAATAGAGAAAATGTAAATAAATGTCATTGATAAAATAGAAAGTTTCCCTTGCAGAGAGCCAGGATCAGGGGTGCTATTCAGCAGGTTCTGATAGGTTCTGGAGAACCAGTAGAGGAAATTTTGAGTAGTTTGGAGAACCAGCAAATACCAACTCTGGCTGGCTCCAGAGTGGGATTAGGGAAGGAGATTTTGCAATATCCTTCCCCCAGGAGTGGGGACAGAATGGGGATTTTGCAGTATCCTTCCCTTGCCACACCCACCAAGCTACGCCCACAGAAGTGGTAGTAAAAAAAAATTGAATTCCACCACTGGCCAGGATGGTGTGGTGATTACAACAGCTAGAACAAAAGAGAGTTAGGACCAAATCTTTTAGCCATGAAGCTCATTGTTGACTTTGAATATTTTCTCAGTCTAACAATCTTCATTGAAGAATAGAAAAAGGCGTATATATATATATAAGTATGAATAAAGCCTAAATCTTTTGAGAATAGAAACCCCATAAATGGAGTAGCATGGGGAATCTTCAGTCTCCTGGTCAAATAAGTCTCTCAGGGGCTCATAGCTCTGATCAATAGTTCTAATTAACGTATTGCTTATATCTTTTCTGTTCCAGACCACGGGCAGGGTAAAACTACAATCAGTTAGGCATGGAGCTACAGTATTTGGATATTCTTTTGGAGTAATCCTAGAGATGCCAAATAAAAAGCAGTTGATGAAAGAAGGCTGAGTTCATTGTTAGCTGAGGATCTGTTGTCTCAGTCAGAGAATTCAGTGACATACACCCAGCAGTTATGAAAGGGCTGCTGATATTCAAGTTGAATCCAGTTGTGTATGTCCATTGATAGAATGGAATCTCTCCATAAATTACTTCAACCCCATTCAACTGTGACTCTATGCTTTCACTTTAATTTGCTTTGGGATGTGGGAGTTCAATAGATTTGGGGAGAAACTGGGTATATAGGGAAGGAAAGTTCCATTAAGCAAATAGGATACCATTTCTTCTACTACTACTACAACTACTATTACTACTACTCACACACACAAATGAGGTAGGGTTTTGACTGTACAGTTGTGACTGCAATGCTTTCTTTTATCTGCCCTGCTGACACTGCTCAGTAGTTCAAAATATAGTCTAAGGTGGAATTTTAAAAATGCAGACATTTGTTTTTCTTATTAGTATAATCTAGATTGGAAATTTAAGAATAATGAAAATAATTATTCCCCTACCAGCTGTAAACCACAAAGGCCATCTGTTGTTTTGTGTGGGGAGAGGAGTATTTTAGTCATATGATAAATATAGGAATCCCTGGGACTTTGTACTATAAACCATATGACTTGAACCAGTTGACCTAACAGTTTACACTTTCTTCTCCCCTATTTTTTCTCTTTGGTTAATGTTTTGCCTGATGAGTTCTGGACAATTAAAAAGCTGCACACCTTTTATTGCCATTTTGATGGTCCTAAATAGGGTGTCTGGGTGCTAAACAAACATAACCCAGATTACGTTGTCACCAAAGATTTCCTCATTTGATTGTTAATAAATGATTATCGGAGAGGAGTACTACAAGCATAATACATAGACATATGTGCATACATATCTTATTCATGTTGTCCAATAAAAATAGTGAAAAAGATTATAAATTAGCAAGCCTATAAAACCCTACAAACAGCCAAACTGGTTTATGAATCTTTTATTTGGCCTCAACATTCGGAAGCCAATTTTACTTTTAATCAAGAATGGATTACTACTAAAGTTCAAAATAATGAAGTTGTTTTTGTGAGTGTTTGGGAGGTGATAAGAGGCCAAAGGAGCAGATGAAAACAGATGCTTCTATTTTGTATCCCAGCACATGGTAGTCTAAGAGAGCTAATCTCTTCCATTTCTTTAATGCCAGAAAATCAGTTACTTCACTTCCCAACAGTGGGAATCCATAGTGACCTATCCATTTCAATAATTACAAAAATAGATTACTTCATAGTACTTTGTAACATAATGTAATATTACAACTTAAATTGCTACATTTTGTTATTTTTGTACTACTCTTCCTTTCAGTAATTTCTTTCTATAATAATATTTTATTGATTTTTAAATACAATATAATTTCGAATATAATGTCTGCAACCCTACTTGCCTAGGAACAGGTGCCGATCAACTCTCTGGGTCTATTTTTAAATGTTGATTAGGTTGCTTATTGGTATATTTGGTACAGTATATGCCAACTGGTATATTTCCCACTGCACCCATTGAGCAAGAATGACTAAATACATAGTTCAAAAGCAAGTACAATTTTCACTACAAATTACGATGTACTTACATCGGAGCATTTGAAACATGAATATTTCAAATTCTGAACAAAGGAGGCTTAAGTAAAATAAGTCCTAATGTTGCAGTAAGTTCAGTGGCAGTTATTTTCTATTAAGTATGTCCACTTTTACTGATGATGTCATTCATTCATTCAATCATAGTATACATAGACATAGTACCTTAAGAATAAAAAGATTTTCAAGGCTACTTCTAAAACAAAATACAAATAATGTTCTGCCTTAATACTGGAACTGGAGGTTCCATCATGTAAGCACCCAGTCATACAAACTGTTTCCTTATGGATTCATCTCTGAGGAGCAGAAAGATTAAAATTTTGTCTACCTGCTTGTTGCCATCTAGTTTTTATCCAGATTTCTGAAACTTGGATTTGCTGCCCTATCTTTTCTTGATAAGCAGGCCCACATGCAGTAATATTACAGCAATTGTAATTATTTTAAGTGATTATTTAAATTGTCTAAATACAGAAAATGCAGATGTGTTCTCTGCCATGGGAAATATTCATTAAAGGTAGCATTGCTTTTTTCTCTCCCCTTAGCTTGAAAATACCGGGAAACAAACTCAGGCAGTATTTGTGGATGCTCAGCAAAGCACAAGGATAGATCTTCAATATCCCTAGTCTTAGATTTTATTAAAGCTAGTTGTGAAAATGTGGTCATTGGCTGCTCTAACTTTGTGTTTTCTCTCCCTGCCCTTGCTTCTCAAAGGATAAGCCTGGAAGAAGTACTTCAGTGGTCTCAGTCTTTTGAAAAGCTTATGGCTACTAAATGTGAGTAAATACATGATTATTAATCAGAACAGAACAGTAAAATGGAATGGGAATAAGTAAAGGGCATTTATGGCATAGGACATATTCAAATAGCCAATGCAGCAGGCCATCTTCCAGCATGAAGTATACCAACATAAATCTTCTCCCTCTATATAACTGATGTCAACTCTGCCTCATTAACAAGATTGGGAAATAATGCTATCTTGACAGTTTCCTGCAGGGCAAATTAAAATGCATCAATTGGTGGATTTCCCAGGCAATGATCCACCAATCATTGTCTTTAAAATGTGGCAAGTTGGGTTGGACTGGGCAGGGAGACAAGTTCTGACAAATGCCTAGAATGGTGAGTTTAGCCATCTTTTCAAATCTGATTGGGAAGGTCCCAGTAAAGCAGGAGAGGAAGACCCAAAATGTCTTCCCCCCCCCCCTATGTTTTGGCTGAAGATAAAGTTGAAACTAGTACTAGTAAGTAGATAAAGTAGAAACTGATCAGACAAATGGGTGTCAGAAGTTTCAAGCTGATTTATGGCAACCTAAAGTAATTATTTTTCACTGGGGAATTCTTACCGATGGAGGTCTGCTAAGGACATTTCAGATTACTCCTCTTCTCACTTTGTAATATGCTATCATTCCCAATCTGTCTAAAATGCAAGTGTTCCCCACAGAAAATGATTCTGTTACAACAAATATCATTTCTTCCAGGTCAAAAAGAGAAACTGCAAACTCTTCAAAAAAAATATCAGTTAACAAAAATCTGCACTGACTTTTAAAGAATTTAGATCACTCCATGCACGGTATATTTCTCAAACTCAACAAAATGCAAATTTTCTGAAAAACATCCACCGATTGCTCTCCATAATGCATTGTGTGAGATGAGGTGAACTTAAACAAGTGGCTATACCAGCAGTTGAACCATCTGCCAGAACTAGATTTTCAGGATGAGTGATTTTCAGGACGAGTGGGGGATATCTGCCTTTTCTGCTTTACTGAGAAGACCCCACACATCCACTGATCACAAGGATCAAGCACTAGATCATCCACCCACCCCACAGATAATCAATGATTAACTCTCTTACACTCTCCCTCTTTCACTCCATCACTTGCATCCTCTCTCAATTATTTCTCTTTTACTTGTTCTTCTGTCACGTTCCATCTCACTCTCCTGCTCACTCTGTGCTAATCAGTTTCCCCCATGCTCCATCACCTACTCTATCACCCATTCAGTCTGCATTTATCTCTTTCCTCACTTTCACACTCTTTACTGCTCTCTAACTCCTTCTCTATCTAAAAACAGGCTGGGGAGACCCTTGACAGCCATTGGCAGTGTCAGACTTCATCTCACAGACAGGACCAAACCACTTAGCCAAGCTCAAAAGGCATCCAAGAACTTCTTCAATATTTATTGAAGGAACTTAAGAAACAATAACAAAGAAGCTCAGCAACGGCTATGTTTCAAGAATACGATCTATATTTAGAAATAACATTCACAACCTTTTGCTTATTTTTTCTATTCCTTACCCTGGATAAGAGACTACTCAGCCCTGCTTTTGGGCACATTGGCTCATTTGCTTACGTTCTTTGGATTTTCCAGACTGGTATTTCTTTTTAAAAAGAATTTCCTCTGCTGAAGTCAAAATACCTATGGTGGATGTTACTGCTAATCAGAAGGTTTTTTTGGGGGGGGGGGGAGGTTTTGCATGCAAATAAGATCTAAGGTACCAAGGGAGAAAATGAGAGACTGAGTTTTAGTCCTGCTATACCCATGAAAACCAGCTTGGTGACCTTGGGACACACTCTGTCTCTCAGTCTAATTCACCTCACGGGGTTCTTGTTGTAGGGAAAATAAAAAGAGGAAGGTATGTTGGATATGTTTGCCATCTTGAGTTATTGTAAAATAACAAAGGTGGGATACAAGTAAATTAATAAACATTTTATTTTGGAGTAACAATACATCAGATACCCAGATAATTAGAAATAGAGACAGAGATATATAGAGATAAATAGAGATTGAGATTGAGAGATAGAGATGATAGAGATATATTAAGCCTAATATAAGAAGCCAATATAGGTAGACATATAGATAAACATATAGATATATCTATATAACTGGCCATGTCCTTGAGAATGAGAATACTAAGAAAAATGAAAAATATTCCCCTGAATATTCCCTTAACTATAAAGGTAAAGGTTCCCCTCACATATATGTGCTAGTTGTTCCCAACTCTAGGGGGCGGTGCTCATCTCCATTTCAAAACCAAAGAACCAATGCTGTCTGAAGATGTCTCCGTGGTCATGTGGCCAGCATGACTAAATGCCAAAGGCGCACAGAACGCTGTTACCCTTAACTATATATTATGGTAAATGGAAGGGAAAACAAAATAGCTAGTTATCTGCTGAGGTAATTTTCACTTCCTGTTATAATCTCAGCGCCTCAGAAAATGATTCTTCATAACATATCTTATACAGAGAATAAAACATAACTGTTATCATAATTACTTTTAGTAGAGTTTGCAAATCAATGGTTGACGTATTATTTTCAGATGGGCCAATCGTCTACAAGTCCTACCTGAAGACTGAATATAGTGATGAGAACATGGAATTCTGGGTGGCTTGTGAAAAGTATAAGAAGATTTTATCACAGAGGAAAAGAATATCAGAGGCACAGAAACTTTTTAAGGAATTTATCCAACCCCAGGCTCCAAAAGAGGTAAATTAATAAATTGGGCAGGAATACAATATAATTTCTCATTTTGCAAAGAACTGTGTGAATGCTCTCACAGATGTTGAGCATTTTAAATAATTTCTCCAAGTGGACAATTTATATTACAGATTGAAACCTTACCAATAGCTTTTGTCTGTGGAGATTCTCAGTCATCCAGGTCATGGTTGTCCCAAAGGTCCTTTTTTTTCAAGAGGCAACTGGACCAGAAAATCCATCTGCCTCTTGAAAAAAAGCACCTTTGGGACTTACCAATAGCTTGTATGATGAATAAGAATTTTATTTCTTTACAGATGAGGAATACCTCATTAAATCTCAACATAAGACTACACAAGTAGGCTGCTAGCAAGAGATATATCTCTAGAAGGCCACCTTTATAAATAAATGCATTACAAATAAAAGTACAATGAATTAACGATGCATCAAATACTATAGAGCCTTAGTGGCACAGCAGACTAAAGTGCTGTTAAGTAACACCAGCTACCTGCAATTACTGCAAGTTCAAATCTCACCAGACTCAAGGTTGACTCAGCCTTCCATCCTTTCAAGGTAGGTAAAATGAGGACCCAGATTGTGGGGGCAATAAGCTGACTTTGTATAAAAAAGAACACCGCTTGGGGGGGGCAAAAGCCCTACTAAACAGGTATATACAAAAGTATGAAGGCTATTGCTTAACGCATTGTAAGCTGCCCTGAGTCTCTGGAGAAGGGCGGCATATAAATTGAACCAATAAAATAAATAAATAAATAAATAAATAAATAAATAAATAAATATAGTATCCATGGTAAGAATTTATTTTTTTCTTACAACAACAAACTTGTCAGCGAATTTGGGCTGTGAATAACTGGCTTCAAGTCACCCAGTGATCTTCTATGACACCTATTTGTGTCACTTTAGCCAGCATCATAGCTTCTAGATCACACTACCTCTAATATTTGTTGGTCTTTGGTAAAGCAGTAGGCCTGACCTTTAGTTCTAAGTCCATCTTGATGTGTTTTTTAATTGGAATACATTTGATTTGGCTTCAGTTATTCTGCATTGTGGTGTTTTGTGTGTTTTCCTATTGGTTTCTCTGTTTTTATGCTTTTAATCATACACAAGTTACCCAGGTTATTTGCAAATTGAGTAGCTATACCCAGATAAATAAATTTTATGACATTGTCAAGATTTCCATCTTTCTTGATGCCACTTTTGTCTTTTTTTACATTCTTCAGCATCTTACTCTGTCTAGTCTCTTAGCTTCTGACTATTCTTTAAAAAGTAAAATAAAAACTACTTTCCTTGTTTGTTTGTTTGTTTGTTTGTTTGTTTTTGTTTTTCAGATTAATATTGACAGTCCAGTGAGAGAAGGTATTACCTTGAAGATTCAGGAACCAACTCAGTGTTGTTTCGATGAGGCTCAGAAAATTGTTTATCTGCATATGGAAAGAGACTCATATCCCAGGTTTCTTAGCTCAGAAATCTACCAAAGCCTTATCTTCACTCTTTCAGCCCAGCAACAATCAACATTCTGTCTCAAAGAGGAAAAGTGAGAGCTTTATTTTGAGTTTCAAAATCAGATAAAAGCAAGCAGGGCACTTTCGTAATATATTACACTGCAATTCCCATCATTCCCAGCCAGCAACACCTTTCCCGATTTAATGCCCTCTGAGTTGCACTCAAAATCATGTCCCTGAGTTTAGAGAAGAACGCACTAAATGAACGCACTTAGAAAATATAAATATTTTGACATGATGATTACTTTCTTGTTTTAAGTTGGCATGGGAACGTTTATATAAAATGGAACTGTAAAATTCAAAGGTATCAACTAAAGCTTTAGTATTGCCTGAATAATGGAACCATCACAGTGTTAGAGGCTGATGTGGTTGAATTAACCAAGTACTCAGATCAGAACTTCTAAGTCTTAGCAAATTCTTGATCTAACACTGCTCTGTGGCACTTCCTGCCTTATGCAAGCTACAGCATCAATAGCCAGAAACTCTATCAACATTCAGCCAGTCACCCAGCCATTAAGCTATTAAGCCTCTTTTAAACAATTCAAGGAAGACTACAGTTGCTGCTAGCATTCACTCTACATGATGAAAAATCCACAGCAAACAAGATAGAGTACTGTATAGGTAAATCCGTAACAATATATTAAGGGCAAGCTATATTTATAGTATTATATTAAAAATCTATATAACGCTGGTATCATTACCTTTTAAAATTTACTTTTATTTTAAATAGTATATTTTTAGAAATTTTGTTCACCCCCACCCCCTAAAAGAACTGTAGTTATTGGGTGGTTTAGAAATACAGGGATATCAAATTAAAGTGCTTCAGAACTTAACTGATATAGAAAGGTAGTTGTAATTCAAACCTATGTTTTTCAAAGGAAATAAGCAGACATCGAACACAAACAGTGAAAGTTAACAGTGAAGTTAATATGAATATAAGTAAGTAAGTGAACATAAGTAATGAGTGAATTTAAGTGAAAGGGGAGATCATTTGAAAGATACTTAAATTATTTTTTCTTACAATATTTATATTTAATAAAATGCAAATGAACAATCCAATTAAAGTTGGATATTATTAACATATTAATAATACATTTTATTAACAATAACATTCTTTTATTTATTATCTTATTTGAGTGACCATTTCTCCTCAATTATGCCTAACCCATCCCATTAGGTTTGGTAGGAGATGTATGCTCTAGGTTTTTCTACAGTATTAGGGAATGTATTTAATAAAATTGCTAATATATACTGTATAGTCATGGGGAAGTGCCATCTGGTGGACCCCAGAAAGAAAGCCTTCTCTGCCATGGGGTCCACCCTTTGGAACATGATCTCTCCAATAATTATACTGGATCTGACTTTGCTGGCTTTTCACAATGCCTTAGAGGCAGAGTTTTGTCCCTAAGCTTAAGGATCCAGATGCTTGGCAGCGCCTGTTGATCTGTTGAGGTTGTTTTTATCTCAAATACTGGTGATTTATTGTTGTTGTTATTATTTTATGGTGTTTTCCATTGCTGTTAGCTGCCCAATGTCAAGATTCTGAGATGGGCAGCCATGTAAACTAAATAAATAAACAAAATTGATTGGAGAGGTTGACAGAAGGCAAGGTGGCTACGTTCTATCACTGATAACTCAAGCAGAAGCTTATAAAAACTCAGATCAGCAGTTACAAAATACAGTTCTGAAGAAATGACAGGCTGCAAAGCAGGGGTGAAATCTACTTACTATCCTTACTGGTTCGGAAGCGCATGCACTGTGCACGCACTCGCTTCGTTCGCGTGTCACATGCACATGCAGACCTGCACATGCACAAAACCTTCTGCTCATGCGCAAAACCTTCTGTGCATGCGCAGAAGGTAAAAGCACATTACTTACTGGTTATAATGAGGAAGTAATGGCACGTGGGTGGGCGGAGCTTCACTCCACCATCACTACCAGATTGCCGAACCACCGGCCAAGATTGCTACCGAACTGGGCAATCCGGTCTGATCCGGGAACATTTCACCCCTGCTGCAAAGTGACTAAACAATTGCACAACAAAACTAACGAATTCTGCCTACCTTTTTCCATCTCCTTTTCAATCTGGCCATGCCCACTTCTAGGATCACAACTTGACAGGACTCAAAGAAATAATGTGCAGCCCTGATCTCCAACATGATAGAATGAGATGATCAGATGTTATACTGATACGTTATCTAGAATAGTTGACAGTCACAGTACTTAGGTTAGGGGTGGATGGCAGGACTTTTTTTTTGAAAATGTAAGAGACCGGAGTTCAATAAGAACTTAATATTGTACAGAAAAGATAGTAGAATATACATTGATTCTTTTCATTGGACTCTGTGTAAACAAGATTTGAACTACCATTGTTTTCTATCCATTAAATGAGTGACTCTCGATGGCAATACTGTGTGGAGAATCCTAAGACTGATATTAAACTTTTTAATAAATTAACTTTATTGCCTTGAAATAAAAGTTTTAATTCATGATATCATTCTATTTATTGTTCAGACACTGCAAAAAAAACCCTCAGCTTGTGAGGCCTGCTGCAGCCTCCCTTGGAGATGCCCTAAAGTTGTTTTTCATGTGTTTATCTTTACGTTAATTTCTACGATTACTCTTCTGATCACCTCTTATGCGGAATAGTAGGGGCTGCATGGTTTTTAAAAATTGGGAGAAGGCACGAGATAATGCTTGTCTGGGCTTAAAGTAGTGGGCCACCAAACATATATTCATGTAAAGCAAGATATCTCTTAATAACGAGTTTATACCATTTGTGCGCATCCGTTAGTTATTTGCACTATGGGATAAGAGGGAGAAGAGGGTGGGTTGACCCAAATGACCAGCTTGCTCAAGCTTTCTTACCATGTTTTGAGGATAAGAATACGCAATGCAATCCTGCCTCCACTGAACTAGTGCTGTCTGATTTGCAGACTGCACGTGTTGGTAGGCAAATCTATTCCAATTGACCATTGCACATTATAGCAATAATAAACTTCCTTGGTCCTTGGTTGTTATTCCTCACAGCCTTTATTTTCCCAATTGATTGATGGAACAGTGATATAGATACAGAATAATATAGTCCTACTGCTAGAGGGATCTTGGAGTCCTAGAGGACAACCGTTTAAATATGAACCAGCAGTGTGCTGCAGCTGCCAAAAGAGCCGACACAGTCCTAGACTACATTAATGGAGGGATAGAATCAGTGGTGGGATTTAAGTAATTTAACAACCGGTTCTCTGCCCTAATTATTTCTTCCAATAACCAGTTTGCCAAACTGCTCAGAAAGTTAATAACCGGTTCTCCCAAAGTGGTGCAAACTGCTGAATCCCACCACTGGATAGAATCAAGATCACATGAAGTGTTAATACCACTTTATGATGCCTTAGTAAGACCACACTTGGAATATTGCATCCAGTTTTGTCCACCACAATATAAAAAAGATGTTCACACTCTAGAAAAAATGTAGCCAAGAGCAACAAAGATGATTAAGGGACTGGAGGCTAAAACATATGAAATATGGTTGTAGGAATTTGGTAATTTAATAAAAAGAAGGACTAGGGATGAAATGATAACAGTGTTCTAATACCTAAGGGGCTGCCACAAAAAAGAGGGGGGGTCAACCTATTTTCCAGAGCACCTGAAGGCAGGCCAAGAAGCAATAGATGTAAAGTAATCAAGGAGAGAACCAACCTACAACTAAGGAAAAAATTCCTGAAATTGTGGATGCTCCAACACTGGAACTTTCAAGAAGAGATTGGACAACCATTTGTTTGAAATGGTATAGGATTTCCTCCCTGAGCAGGCAGTTAGACTAGAAAATATCCAAAGTCCCTTCCCTTCCAACTCTGCTATTTTGTTCTTCTGTTAATTTGATGATTTGTCATCAATGGATAAGTTACAAGATCATTCCCCCCAAAAAAAATCAGAATTGTGAGATTGTTGGAATGACATACCTGTATCAGTTATTGCTGGTATTAGATTATGCTTAGCCTTTGAAAAAAGATGCACTGTTTACTTCTCCCACTTTTGGAAACACAACTGACCATTCCTTATGTCACTTGCTAGCAATGGACAATCATAAAAATAAAACAAGATTCTTGCAGCATAATCCTATACCCCTGAATTCAGCTTACTCCTAGGGAACCGTTGACAGAATAGACATCTTAGAAATAACTAGTGATATTGGGGCTTCTGGTGCCAGATAACAAACAGTCAAACAAAACCTTTTATATTTTTTGCTAAGCTACAGGCATGTATCTTCTCAGTTACTGCAAGAGGATTAAAATCCTCTTGTTTCACTAGAAAAGAATACAAACTGAGCATAATATTTATGAAGCAAAGAGATTCCATCTGAAACTTGAAATCTGTATAAAAGACCTGTTGGTAAATGGATAAATGAGTTTCCTCATAAAACTAAAATTCAACAGAAGGCCACAAAGCTGTTTTCCCTAGAGTATTGTTAATTAAATGTAATGTGAATATTTAACAATTCCTTATATTGTCAAAAGGCAATTCATAAATCAGCTTAACAGTGTTCACTCCAGTCTGCAAGGCAGCACAAATTATGCTAGCTTACATTTGTTCCATCTATACTAGCAAGATAACTAACAAGTGTGGGAAGAAATGTCCATCTGGTTCAGTTCCAAGCTGGGAGAAAGACACTGGAAACATGAAGGATGATCGGAAAGAAGGTTTAATGATGAACAGAACCACCAAGCTCATGGTTCTGGTGCAGCTGACAAAATGAAGTTGAGGGTGAGGGGTTTTTTATACCTTCTTTAAACTTTGCACTTGAGCTTCCTGTTCCTGTGCAAGAATATGTATTCTATTGGTTGTTGTCAGACTCCCATGGGGCTGTGTAAGGGTTATAGCTGGCTCTATAGGCAAAGAACAAATCCTAGGTGTTTGTCTTAACTCCAGTGGTGGGATTCAATTTTTTTAACAACCAGTTCTGTGGGCGTGGCTTAGTTGGGGGTGTGGCTTGGTGGTCATGTGACTGGGTGGGTGTGGCTAGCTGGTCATGTGACCGAGTGGGCGTGGATAGCTGGTCATGTGACCAGGTGGGCATGGATAGCTGGTCATGTGACCGGGTGGGTGTGGCTATGTGCATAGGGACTACTTAGAGGGCTGAAAAAAGTCATTTCTGATTGGTCCTCGCACTTCTGACTGGTCCTCGCACTTATGACCATCCTCACATTTATGCCTGTTGCGGCATTCTTAACAACCGTGTCACTCATTTCACAACTGCTTCTCTTCATCATGGTGACAAGATAGAGCAAAAATGTAAAATGTGAAGACAGTCGTAAGTTCGAGGACTGGTCAAAAGTGCAAGGACTAATCAAAAATAACTTTTTCAGCCCTCTGAGTAGTCCATATGCACAAAAGGACTACCCAGAGGGCTGAAAAAAGTGATTTCTGACAGGTCCTCGCACTTTTGACTGGTCTTCGCACTTATGACTGGTCAACATTTATGCCCATTGTAGCATTCTTAACAACCGTGTCACTCATTTCACAACTGCTTCGCTTCACCATGGTGACAAGATAGGGCAAAAACATAAAATGTTAGGACAGTCGTAAGTTCGAGGACTGGTCAAAAGTGCAAGGACCAGTCAAAAATAACTTTTTCAGCCCTCTGAGTAGTCCATATGCATAAAAGGATACAGCAATAGAGCGGGATGAAGGAAGGGAAGGGAAATTAGAGTAGGAGTGAGGGTAAGAGAGGGAGGAAGAGAGGAGGAGAAGGAGAAAGGAAGAGGAAGTAGGGAGGAGAAGAAGGGGGGGAAGAGAAAGTAAGAAGGAAAGAAAAGACAGGGGTGGTAGGTTTGAGGAGAAAGATTGCTGTACAATAAAAAAGATAAAAGGGAAGAAAGCCAACCCCAAACAAATATAAAGATGTTAAGATAAAGAATGAATTGTTAAATTTTAAAGAATAAAAGAGAACAAATATGAATAAATAGCAATAATTAGAAACACACATACAAACATACAATGTATTTTCTTTGAACAGAGTATTTGGCCGGTTCACAAATTTAACCAGTGTTTAGTCATTTCAATTAAATTTACAATTTCTATATTTTCTTTTTGCCATATTTATTCCTCATCTATTTTTTAAAAAAAACAATATTACCCTTCATCCTCATCTCTAATCTTAATCAAATCCAATTTTTCCCTTCTATTCTATATTATACCCCTTCCCATTGTCATCTATTTTTAGATCCATCCTCACATTGGTTAATTATTGGTTAATTGGTTAATATTACAGTTGTTTAATGCAAATTCAACATTTTAATATAAATCAATTAGTTATATAACTATCTTTTTTGTATATTAATCAATATGAACATGAATATTCCAATTATTTTCATGCAATCCAATTTCTTACAAATCAATTAATTATATTTACTAATAATAATAAACCAAATAATTCCCCCCATATATTCCTCCAAACTACAACTTAACCATTTCTGCTTTCAACACAATATACAATTAATAGTATCTCAATTATTACAATTCCCTAGTTAAATAGAGCTTTTTTTCTTTTGTGTTTTAAAATCTTGAACTCTCCTCTTTTTCCCTAAATTTTCCATTGTTTGCACCTACCTTTTTTGATGAGGAAAAAGAAAAAAAAATCTCTCTCTGCCTCATTTTGTCACGTTGCAGCAAAGACCCTGCTTTACTTTCAGTTTTGCTTTTTCAGCATAGCTAGGCTAGGGGGGGAAAAGTCTGCTCGAGCACTCTTTGCAGAGAGCAATAGAGCCCTGGCAAAACAGCTGACAGCAAATCAGCTGAGAGGCGGGAGGCCGATCTAATCAACTTGTGCTAATTAACCGATGCTGAAGCTGAAGGGGCTGTTTTTTCTTGCTGTTTGCTTGCAAGGAGGTAAGTGCCGCGAGGCACAGGGCAAAGGGTGGGGGCCACCCTCCTTGCCATTTAGCCCCTCCTGCCGCCCCCCTTTCCTCTTACCGCCCCCTAAGGCATTCCACCGCCCCCCAGGGGGTGGTACCGCCCACTTTGGCAACCACTGGTTTAACTACTTAACTACTTAACAACCGGTTCTACCGAAGTAGAATCCCACCACTGGGTCTACCCATTTATTTTTGCAGGCATCGGTCTACTCATTTCTTTTCTTTTAACACTGATCAGCTGTAGGGCGGCTCTTTGAAGCCCCGCAGCAGCTGTGAGGCCAATAAAATTATAAAAAAATACTGAACCGTTTGTTAAATTGCTGGCTCGCCCACCCCTCGCCCAGTGGTGTGGAGGGGCGCGGCAAGGGGCGGGGTGACCCAGAAATTTAACAAACGGTTCGGCCGAACCGCCTAGAACCATCAGAATCCCACCACTGCTTAGCTCCCAGGTTTAGTTGAAGTTTGCTGGGGGTAGTGCAACTGAAAGGGTGTTTGGCAATTCCTATTGTGGCTGAGGGCTAATCCTACCTTTGTTCAGACCTTGCTGCAGGGAATTTCAAAATATCCTGTCTTGAATGGAT